TCTCTCTCTCTCTCTCTCTCTCGTCTGTTTCTTTCCTCCCACCTGCACCTCGTAAGCACCCCGGGCGATTTATACTCCGACTGATTTGTCTTTGTGTCCTGCCTGTGATTACAACACTTAGAGACAGGCACGCCATGAATGGTAGAGTGTTTACTCGCTAACAGACAATATGCAGAATTATGAATCATACACCAGCATACACAATAACAGAACAAAACTGTATGGAAATCAAAAGCATTTTGAAAGTGAATCACGGCAGAGCGGGAAGCAGATGGGACAAACAGTGATGTACGCAGAGGGTGTGATCCAGCCAGGGAAGAGCAGGCCTACGCGTTCCTCTGCCAGGGCTCCATGTACTCCAGACCCAGATGGGCAAAGATGTCCTTTTCAGTCGAAGCTGCCAGGAACTCTTTCTAGAGATAGGACAAACAAACATAAGGTCAGTGCAGGAATGTGTCTCGGTGACACCAACGCCAATCCACAAATTCTCAATCAAGTCTACGCTGCAAGCTGGCAGTATAAACGTAGGATTTGATTAACCCAGTTTGTGTAATCATGCAGTGACCGCCCAATCCCTTCCAACTCCCTTCAAACCCATACACACTCTAACCTTGCTCCAAGTGATTGGTGCAAATCCACACATTCTCAGTTCCTTTATTTATTTATAACATCATTTTCTTCAACAAAATAGCAACTTTGAAATAAATAGAGTGCCAAAAGCAAAACACAGGGGTATGCATGTTGTTCATTTTCCAACCCCTCCATTTCCCCCGTAACAAACAAGACAACAGCAATACTACAACACAACACAGTGTTGAAATATCATACAATAATACAAAATAAGAATATAAATTAAGTAATAACAGATATTACCATTATCGACAAACAATAAACTATATCATATTTTCCAAATATATATCAACCAGTTAATCATAAACTAAATGCACATATAGTCAGGTAAAAAGGTCAAGGTACATGTTAGTCACGGTTGTCTAAGCATATCTGTATTCTAGCTCACACATTCTCAATTTCAAGATTCATTATTCCTGAAAATGTTCATGTCTTGTACACTCAGCCATCTCTGTGCCTGTTCTATCCACGCTGCAAGCTTGAAGTATACATGTAGGATTTTATTCACCCAGTTAGTGCAAACATGCTGTGACCGTGCAGATTTACATTTGACCGCCCAACTCCCTTCGAACCCATAAACACTCTAACCTTGCTCTAAGTGATTGCGCTCTTCAGTAGATGAGTATTTTCCCTGACGAATCGCGACAGGGCTATTAACTACTGGCCGTCTACCAACACCATGTGATGGGTTATGTTTCTAAAGGAGCAGTGACGAGGCCTGACTCACCTTGAGTGCAAGACAGCCCGGAGAGAGAGAGGGCTGTGATTCTGACACATCCTGCCTTCAAGTGCTAAACTGGACCTGACACCTTGCGAAGAGATGGCAGAAAAACCAAGAGCATGTCTGCTTCCACTGCCAGCTGAAGGCAGAGATAACTGAGAGTAACTCGTCTGCAGCCAGGAGAGAGGAGAGCGCTACAAGGCACGTCTCCCAAAATACTGGCTTGTTCTTTCAAATGCAAACGACAGGTAAGCGGTGCAGTGGGGGGGGGGTTAGGGTGCACGCTACAGCTCTGTTCATATCACGGATCACCTTGTTTGGAGGTAAAAGGGAAAGTGAGTCCCTTAAAAATAACCCATGGGAGAAAAGTGTGCATACGGTAGGGTGAGAAGTCAACCTTGTACCAGAGATTCTTGGCTAATAAAAAAAAAAGATGATTTCTTCTGTACTTGGCCAATGCAGTAGCACTTAAGTAGCATTCATATGAGTGTTTTAAATGATCCTGGTTCATATCAGTATGTAGTGTCTCTCCTGGGACATGTCTCCATTCTTTAATGCTCAAAAAGCTCTTTAGTGTCCTCATACTGCCTGTGCTGCAGCACCTCTTTTCACCCTCTGTCTGAAACCAGAGCCCAGTCTGCTCTGATTGGTTAGCTGGCTGGCTCTGCTGTGATTGGTCAACCGCTTAGGGATGTCCAGCCCCTTAGCCAATAGAAGTGTGAGTGTTACATAGTGATGTCACTACGTTACAGAAGTAAACAAAGGAGACCAATGGAGGGGGGGAGTGTGTGTAAACATTTGGATTTGAGCCTTTGCAGGCCATTTACATACTGAACAAACCTGTATTAAATATCCCTTGAAACTGTAATTTCGACTATTACCCTTCTGCCATTCATTGCAGGTCACAAAAATGCATTTAAACTAGAGAATCATAATGCTACAAACACTGTCAGACCATGTTATCCCCAAGATGGCGCCGCACGGGGGAAGCTAAGCTAATGCGCACACACAACCTCACAACCTTGCAGTGTAGAATGCTTTCAGACTGGTTTGGCTTTGTGATAGCTAAAGTGCAATATTTTTTCTTTTCTGAAGTTTATTCCTTCTTCCCTTATCCAAAGTGACAAACATAGGTTTCAATCCCAAAGACCACATTCCAACGAAGCAATTTAGGCTTAAGTTTCTTGCCCATGGACACATTCGACATTTTGACTCACGGGCTGGGGGTTAAAACACTGTTTAGCACAGTGCAGATTTAGAAGATCTAATTCAATTATCACTCTATTTCTTGCTAAGCTACTCGTGTGAGTGGTACTGTACATGTCCTGGAACAGTGCTGTGTTAGGAAAAATGATTTCTGATATCTTGTAGAATATATAGTATTTATTTGCTCCGTTTCTTTTTACATTTTAGGAAATCTGCTGACTGAAAAGTCTTGCTGTATTAGTTGCTTTAAGTTCCTGTTGGTCTTTTTTAATTTAAATTAAATTAAGCAACTGCGTCAGCTTCTCCATTAGTATTTGTTTATGTCATGTAAACAGTAAACCTGGATTCTGTACTTTGGTAGGAGAGTTAACTTCTCTGAGCCACCCTCGGGATGTTTGAAATAAGAGCCCGGTTTAAATAACCCATCATATCTCTTAAAGTCCACTTCTGAAGATCTGTGAAGCTTTGTTCGGTTTCCAAGCTCTTATATTCTTCTGCACACAAAACATTTAATCAGTGGAGTCCAGAGAAATATTATCGCTCTTTCCCAAAAAAAATTATATTGTATGGTGTGTGAAACAGTATTATATTTGAGTTAAAGCATCCCGAGGCCCATTATGGGGGCCAGCACTGCCTGTATTTTTATTGTGCTCATAACCTTGAACCCATTTATTGCTCTCAGTGCACACAAAAAACACCAAATGCAGAAACAGATCGCTGCAATTTATGATGCTCTACTGCAGTGATTCTCAAATGGGGGTACGCGGACCCCTGGGGGTACGTTGGGGTACTGCAGGGGGTACGTGAGATTTCAACAAAAAAAAGGTTAATTAAAAAAATACCATGCATGATAAAAAAATTATCTTAGTACAATAAGTTAAATATAAAACACAATTGTATATAAAATATTCCTAGAACCACCAAGGGGGTCCTCATATAAACATGTCAAATGTGTGTATTGTATTTTATAGTTTTTCACAATATATCATTTTGTTCATTGGTTTGTTAAACACATTACTTAAATTGACAAACTCCTTGGAAAAATCTGTTTTATAAAAGTGTTATGTTGTTTTTTGTCATGCATGAAGATGAAAATATCCTTAGTTTGTTGTAATGCATGCACGAAGGAGTTAAATCACACACTGAGGGAACATCACTATATTGGAATTATTTATATAGGCTTTTTCGATCAAAAATGTTCGGGGTCGGTCAGGGGGTACTTGGCTGAGAAAATGTTTCAAAGGGGTACACTACTGAAAAAAGTTTGAGAAGCACTGCTCTACTGTACTAAAACATACAGGTGATATAAAGTGGAGGCATGCGGAGGCTGGAGGAATGAAAGAGAACAGGAAATAAGGGAGACTGCTGGACAAGGCTGATGTGATTTGTAGTAAGGGCTTATTGTTCAGTAACAGAAAAGAGGAAACTCAGGAGATCCAACTAAAGGAGAAAACACAAGGCACAGATGAGATTCTCAACATTACTAATTTAGCCATTGTCCTGGATGAGGGGATAAAGCCCTCCCTCTGTCCACTTTCCTCAATTCCTACAATCCTCACAAGCCCTGAGGGGGAGGCTGCTTTATTTACTTAGCACAACACAGCGTGGGCTCTGAGAGAAGAATCCACAAGCATCATGTACCTCTTCCCTTTAGATATACTCTGAAAAAAGTGAAACTTTGACTTTAATTAAATGTATTATGTCAACAGATTTCACGTAACTGTATTTGGTTAGTTGAAAGTAATATTAAGTTTAAAAAATATATATTAGGTTCAACCTTAATATATTTGCTTTCAACTAACCTAACACAGTTACATGAAATGTCTTGACGTAATACATTTAATTAAAGTCAACGTTTACATTTTTTCAGTGTATGCAGGGAAACTATACTTGAAATTAGGGCTGGGCGGTATGACAAAAGCAGTATATCACTGTATTTTTTCAAATGATATTGGTTTAACGTTATATCATGGTATCTATTTATTTTTCCATGATTAGAAATATTCACACATTTATACTTATTGGACCCACAGAAAAACACTTGGTCAGTCCTCATGAGTGATGAAGGAATCAGAATGCATGAAATTATTATTGTACAAACTTTAGTTAGCGCATGACTTGGACACTGTTTGTAAATGTAAACAAATCCCCCCTTCTCTGCAGAAAGCACATATAAAGATTTATTTTATGATTGACCTTCAAACTAAGGTACACACCGAATAAAATAAATGAAGTGCAACTTAAAATAAACCTTGCTTCAAGCCAAGGTACACACAGTATTCAAACAAATGAAAGTGTGCAACTTGCATTATTATTAGCCTTTGTTACGAAGTGAAGGCACTCTTGCTGAACATTATGTACAGGCTACATTAAGGATTTGGTCATTATAAATCGAAATGGCAGTTTATGAAAACATCATAATACGGTAAACAATTCCCCGTATTCTGTCTGGAACTGTATTTTTGGTGTATCAAACAAAGCTCAGAGTTAAAGAGCAGAGCTGCGGTTAATTAGAAGGAGAGGTTATCTGTCTGTGACACTCAGGTTCTCAGTTACTGGCAAGCCATCAGCACCACAAGCCAGAATGGAAGCCGAGCCAGTCTCCTTGACTTAATAAGCCGCTAATCAGCTACATGTTTCTCTGTCCGCCGCATAATGACATCCCTTGTGGACGTGAACACATATCAATTCCTGCAAAACATCTGCCCCTTCTCTGCTGCCTGTCATCCTGGCTCTGCCACCCGGTCCACTGCCTGATGGACATGGCTGCCTGCCCGGCGCCGGCCCCACTCCACTCACACATCAAACAGAGCCAGGGAGGCAAAGAGACAAAGAGAGAGAAATCTGGATCGCTGC